CACTTGGGGGTTGAGACAGGAGGATCCTATCATCATGAGTTTTATTTATGTTAACTCGGGCTACATAGTGATGTCAAGGCCAGTCAGGGATACATAGTGGATGCTATCTTAAAAACAAAACTTCAAAGTGGCCTGTAATCCCAGCACTTGGGAAATACAAGCCAGAAAAACAGGTTCAAGGTCATCTTTAGTTTCATAGGGAGTTAGAGGGCAGTTTGGGCTACATAAAAGCCTGTGTCAATGGCCAGGTGGTGGTGGTGGTGTCATACACCTTTAGTCCCAGAGCTTGGGAGGCAGGGACAGGCAGATCTCTGTGAGTTCAAGGCCAGCCTGGTCTAAAGAGCAAGTTCCAGGGCAGGCTTTAAAGCTACAGAGAAACCCTGTCACCCTGTCTTAAAAAACCAAAAAAAAAAAAAATAAATAAAAAAAAAAAAAAAATTAAATCTTAAACAGCGCTTCAACTGCAGGAGACCCACAGACACCAGTGCTTCTCAGACCCCGGATTAGACACAAACCACACCCAAACACCCGTTTTCCCAAGAGATCTCTTATTTTAAGATTTATTGCTGGGCAGCACTGGCTCATGCCTTTAATTACAGCACTCAGGAGGCAGAGGCAGGTGGATCTCTGTGAGTTTGAGGCCAGCAGCCTGGTCTACAAAGGCTACACAGAAACCCTGTCTCAAGAAAATTATTTTTGTATGAGTGATGTATTTGCATGTATGCCTGCATGCCAAAGAGGACATCAGATCAATTATAGATAGATGTGGGTGCTGGGAACTGAACCAGATCCTCTGGAAAATCAGCCAGTGCTCTTAACCACTGAGCCAGCTCTCCAGCCCTAAGAGATCCATTATTAAGCAGAGAAGAAAAGTTGAAGTAGCTGCTTCCTGACTCAGGCAGAATGACAGAAGCAAATGGCCTTGTAGGTTTAATTTTTAAGAGAAAAAGGGGAGGTCTGTGTTAGAATGGGCTAGGGTGTGATATGGTGTATTTTGACTGGGCATATTAATTAGGTAAACCAAAGGGTTTTGTTGTTGTTTTGCTTTTCAAGACAGGGTTTCTCTGTGTAGCCCTGGCTGTCCTGGAAATCATTCTGTAGACCAGGCTGGCCTTGAACTCAGAGATCCTCCTGCCTCTGCCCCTGGAGTGCTGGGATTAAAGGTGTATGCCACATTGCCTGGCTCCAAAGAGGGTTTTTGATGGTTGGACCTCAATATTTTGATAGCTGGACCTTGTTGGTCAGCCTCAAGAGGAGGAAGTGAACAAATAAACAGACCTTGGGGGCTGGCTTTAGGGATGTAGCTAATGGTTCTGAGCAAGACAGAGGGAATGGGGGAGAAGGGCCAGGCCTGCCAGAGACGTACCTACCTTGTTCGAGCTGGCCAGAGTCCCTTCACTGACACCTCCAGTCCTAGAATTCCCACTGGTCAAGTGTCAAGACTTTCAAGTACTTTCACGGGAAGGTGAAGCAAGCTGCAGGCCAACACTTGGCCAGCAGTCAGTTGAGCTCTTTGGCTCTGCAGTAACATACTAATCTCTGTTCAGATTTCACTGTTGCTATTAATACACTGTGACTCACCAGAAGTGCAGCTTCCTGGAATGTCCTTCCCAAGGAGGTGATGTTCCTTCCCATGGAGACAACTCTGCAAATCATCCTTTAAAAGTTGGAATGCATCCAGAACTCTTAGACAGGGGAACAAATTCCTAAATGATACAAAACTATGTAAATAGATTGCCCTCCTCACAAAGATAAAGAAGGCATCAGTTGTACTTACCAGTTACTCAGCCCACACATATCCATCAGGTGCTGCCTGTGCACCAAGACAGCAGTGAGCAATTTCTGTCTACACCTTTCTTCCCAGCTGTCAGGAGAGGCAGGCTAACCTGGGACCATCAGTCACTTCATTATAGTGTGTAATGCTACCATGGAAGAAGGTATTGGGGGGGGGGGGCAGGTAGCACGCTACCTTACAATGTGAGAGGCACTGGGGTTACATCCCTAGCACCAGAGGGATATTCAGGGGTAGATGTCAAAGTTTCTCAAAAGAGTGGCATCTAAACAGAGACAATGTGAAGTGCTAGCCTGAAACACAAAGGCAGAAAGATCATGTCTGCCAACTTAGTGCCTAGTCAGGGCTGCTCTTTGTGTGGAATGAAATGCTTTGAAAATAGTTGTGTGAGTTGGGCATGGTGGCTCATACCTGTAATTTCCTCAGTGAGGAAAGATTTCTGAGTGTGGTTAGAACAGTTACATAGCAAGTTCTAAGATAGCCTGACCTACATGGAAGTCTCACAAGAAAACAAACCATGGTCCCAGCCATGATGGTATACACCTTTAATCGCAGCACTTGGGATGCAGAGCCAGGCAGATTTCTGAGAGTTCCAGGCCAGCCAGAGCTACACAGAAAATCCTTGTCTTAAAAAAAAAAAATCAAAAAAAGCTATGAATAGACCTCAGCTCAGTGATAAGCACTTGCCTAACGGTGGGTTGAAGCCCTACATTTAACCCCAAGACTAAACACCCACCAAGAGCAGGGAATGATGATGTACACATGACAGGCCTTGGCTGTTAAGACCTTGTGTCAAACTGAAATGAGGTCACTGTGTTGACTAGTTTTGTGTCGTCTTGACATGGTTTAAGTCGAGAGGAGAGAACCTCAATTGAGGCCTCTGGGGTGGGGGTGGGGTAATATTTCAGTAACTGTCTTAATCAGATTAGTGTGGCAGGTGCCTGTAATGGGTGCTGGCTTTTGCAAAATGGTGGTCTAGAACTTGGTGGCAGTGGCCCATGCCTTTGATCCTAACACTTGGGAGACAGAGGCAGGATCTCGGAGTTCCAGGCCAGCCTGGTCTACAGAGCAAGTTCCAGAACAGCCAACACTACACAGAAAAGCCTTGTCTCAGAAAAAGAAAGGCCTACAGAGTTGACTGGTGGCAGCCACATATCTTTAATCCAAGCAAAGGCAGGCAGATCTGAGTTGGAGGCCAGCCTGGTCTAGTTTCAGGACAGCCAGTCTCAGGAGTGAGTGTGGGTAAAAGCAAAGGTCTTCCTAAGATCATACTGTATGCAAGCCTCTAGCCAATTTCTTAATGGTAGATGGGGAGTGCCTAGCCCATTCTGGGTATTGCCACAAGTGGTGGTACTGGCTGAGCAATCCGTGAGAAAGCCAGTAAAAGGCACCCCTTCATGGCATCTGCCTTCAGATTCCTTCCATTTGAGTTCCTGTCCTGACTTCCTTTAAAGATTAACAGTGCTGTGGAGTTTCTGCCATTGTTGGTCATGGCATTTCATCACAGCAAAAGAAACTCTAAGACAATCCCACAACTGTAACCGGGCCAGTGGACTCGAGGTTGTCCACAGTTGCCTCTACTTTTTTTGAGATCTCTCTGTAGCTTTGCAGGATGTCCTGGAACTCAAGGCATCAACCTGTCATTTTCCTCTGGAGTGCTGGGATTAAAGGCCTGCACTACCACTGCCTCTTGTTAATAAACACCTTCCTACTGTTGTGTATTATATAATGCATCATCCACCACCATCATCCAACTCCACTCCCATCAACCCAACCCAAACTGGTTTCAACTCTCTTCCTTCCCCATTACTGGACAACCACCACTCAACTTTCCAACTGCTTTTGAGACAAGATCTTATGCAGGGTAGGCTATCCCCACTTCGTGTGAAGAGATGGAACCCAGAGCTGCATGCATACTAAACTCGTATATCACCTGACAGGCCCAGGTTGAGTCTAAGAAGCAGGCACATGAGTGGGATCCTACAGTACTATGGTTTTTGTTCTGATGGTCATCTACTTATATACCATCTGACGCCCAACTCTTCCAGTTACTACCAGTTTGCTTAGTAACCTACTAAATCTCTCAAAGACTTCGGAGCAATATAAACACTAGGATTTGTAATTCCTCACTCATTGATTCGGTAACCCAGTCTTTAGAGCTATGGTACTCAACCTTCCTAATGCTGTGACCCTTTAATAGTTCATGCTGTGGAGACCCCAACTATGAAATTTTACTGCTACCTCCTAAATGCACTTTCCCCCTCAGTCCTAATGTAAATGTGGTTTCTGATCGATCACCTTAGGGGATTCCTGTTAAAGGGCCATTCTAACCCAAAATGAGAACACTGCCTTCTGAACTTAAGAGAGCCAGGCTCGCATGCTACCACCCCTTCCCAACCAGGCTTTCAGAGCAGGCCCCTAATTTTGTACTACCACCACCTTATCATTCTATCAGGACTGTTAGTTGTACTAAGGACCTCACCCATACTCGAGTGAGCAGATTTCCCTATAAATAAGTTCCCTGGCTTGATGGACTGTTTACCTTCTTAACCCAGCTCCTAACAGCTTATGTCTTCAACACCTTCTACTATTAAGCTACAAAGTTAAGATTCTAGTAAGATTATGAGATTTGGAAAGGAACTTGACACAAGGTCACAGAATTAAGGACTACATAAAACCCAAACACTACCAGCGCCATCAAAAAACCTAGATTAGGCTTTACCTTATTTGAGCAGCATTTGTATAGAATATAGGAAAGCCCAGCTCAATCCTGCCGATGCCAGAAATACTTGACATCACACTAAAAATTTAAGGCTGGATATAACTCAGTATTATCAATATTTGAACAGGGTAAAAAAAGATAATAATTCATGCTTCAAGTTCTCTTGTTCCTCACCTCCCAAAGTACCCAACCTTAAGACAGAATTTCATGAAGCCCAGGACCCTGAATGCAACTCTGGATCCCCCAGCTACAAGGGATTTGTGAGGTGCTGGGACAAAAATCTTGAAGACAAGCTAGGTTGTGTTCTTTAGGCCCAGGTCCTACTCTACCAGGTTCTGAAAAAGAGGACCTCAATATAGGACAGCCAATATTAAACCATCTCTGTTCCACTGGGCCCACATATTCTTATGGAGCAAATAACCAGACACAAAAAAATATACCCTACACCTCTAGAAACAAAGAAAACACACACAAAAACCACACACATTTTACACGTTTTATCGCATCTGTATTTACCTTTTAAAGCAGAATGTGATTGGGCACTATATTTCCATTCACAAGCCTTGCTGAGTTACAAGACCTAGGGAAGCTCAGGGTTTTGTTCTCAGTACTCTGAAAACAAGCCACATGGGAAATTCCTCAGTTGTTTTAGCTTATATATTTACTTCTAAGACTAGTACATGCAGAATTAACTACAAGGAATGAAAAATTTTAAGATGAAACTTTATCCATCTTAATTTTTTTCTTTTTAAACATGAAGCTATCTTAGAGTACTTCCAAGTGACAAATTATTTGGTCTACTAAGGAATCCAGCTCAACAGCTAAATACTTCAGACCACAAAGTTAATAGGTTATGTCTTACAACAAATGTTCTACCAATCTGTTGAACCAAACCTATAAGTATCACAGTATCACAAGTAGAAATTTTATCTTCCCATTAGTTTTCATGCCACACAGATGTTTTAAATGTTAACAAAAATAAACAAAAATCCTCGAAAATATATTATCAGAAGGAATGAAAGTAAGCATCAAACATATAGCTCTGGGTGAAGCTTAGTCTACTTCTTCCATGCGTGATGTGTCGTCATCTCCTTCCAGGGGTGGCATTTCTTCAGAAACAGCAGCACTGGTATCATCCACAGTAGGGTCATCTTCATCAATACCTTGGTTTTGAAAATAAGTGTTGCAGATGTTAATACCAGATAAGGTAAGGAGCCTCAAATGACTTCCCTTATTTAGACTGAGCATTAAAAGAACAAAACAGGAAAACCTCATCCATACCAGGCAGGGCAAATATATGCCGGTAAACCCTAGCATTTGAGAGGTAGAGGCAGAAATCAGTCCAAAAAGGCCCTCAGCTATATAGCTTAGCTAACCCCAGTCTAGTCTGGGCTAAAGCTGTTTACCCCTTACATGTATATAGTTAAGGTCTTCCACAACAGCAATAATCCAATTTTGTCTCAAATGGCTCAAAATAAAGATCCTACTCAACAGGTTTCTTTTCCTTGTAACATGTAGTCTACAGGTAGCTTACCTAGACCAAGCTTGATCATCCTGTAGATCCTGTTTGCATGTGTCTGGGGATCTTCCAGACTGAAGCCAGAAGACAGGAGTGCAGTTTCATACAGCAAGATCACCAGATCCTTCACAGACTTGTCATTCTTGTCAGCCTCTGCCTTTTGCCGTAGGGTTTCAATGATGGAGTGGTCAGGGTTTATCTCCAGGTGTTTCTTTGCTGCCATGTAACCCATTGTTGAGTTGTCTCTGAGGGCTTGAGCTTTCATGATTCTCTCCATGTTTGCTGTCCACCCATAAGTGCTTGTGACAATACAGCATGGAGACGTCACCAATCGGTTTGATACAACCACCTGTAATTAAAAAAAAAAAAAACAAGTGATAACCAAGGCCCAAAAAATTATCAGAAATGGTAGTATTTGCAGTTGATGTAACCATGAAACTAATTATTTTCGGTTCTAAAAGGACCAAGTTACCAACTTGATGGAAACATTCACATACCTTCTCAACTTTTTTCTCCAAGATATCTTTCATAATTTTGCAGAGGTTTTCAAATTTTGTCTTCTTCTCTTCCTGTTTCTTTTTCTCCTCTTCATCTTCTGGAAGTTCCAGCCCTTCTTTGGTAACAGACACCAAGGTCTTGCCTTCAAACTCCTTCAGCTGTTGTACACAGTACTCATCAATGGGCTCAATCATATAGATCACTTCTAAGCCATGCTTTCGGAGACGCTCCACAAAGGCAGAGTTAGCAACTTGGTCCTTGGTCTCACCTAAAAAAATGTTACTTTTAAAAATGGTTTCATGTACTCTCAGCTTTTCTACCCAGCTACAGGTTTAAGTATACTAGACTGGGCATTCTTGCTTACAGAAATAAATGCTTCCTTAGTAACACCCATGTACTTGACCATCACCTGTGATGAAGTAGATGTGCTTCTGGTTTTCCTTCATCCTGGTGCAGTAGTCCTTGAGAGAAACCATCTCATCTCCAGAGGCAGATGTGTAGTATCGCAGCAGCTCTGAAAGCTTCTTCCGATTCTGAGAGTCTTCATGAATTCCAAGCTGAAACAAGCCACATTTATAATAAACACTTTTATCCTAACCTGGGAGGCAGAGGCAGGGGAATTAAGTCTGAAGGCAGCCTATTACTACACAGCCAAGTGCCAGGACGGCCAGAGTACTGCATAGTACAAACCCAACCACCAACTAAAACCAGTTTGGTTTGAAAAACTATCAGTAACACCAACCTTTATATTTTTTGAGAACTGCTCATAAAACTTTTTGTAGTTCTCTTTGTCTTCAGCCAGTTCAGTAAATAGTTCTAAGCATTTCTTGACCAAATTCTTTCTGATAACTTTCAAAATTTTGCTTTGCTGCAACATTTCACGGGAGATATTTAATGGAAGATCCTCAGAATCCACCACTCCTCTAATGAAATCTGGGGAGGAAAAAGATCAAAGATAACCATCTTTTTTCCCCCTCTAGGGCATTGAACCCATGGCCCCAAAACAAATTAGGCAAGGACACTGCCAATAGGTAAAATCCTTGGCCCCAAACCAAATGGGATTAATTTTCTTGACTGTTAACATTGCTTATTCTTATTCATACTTACTCAGATACTCAGGGATTAACTCCTCACAGTTATCCATAATGAAAACTCTTCGCACATACAATTTGATGTTGTTTTTTTTCTTTCGGTTTTCAAACAGATCAAAAGGAGCACGTCTTGGGACAAAGAGAAGGGCCCGGAATTCCAATTGTCCTTCAACAGAAAAATGCTGCAATAAAATAAAATACTTCTTGTAACTACCAGACAAAATGAACTCACTTTCCACTTGCGCTCCAAGTTTACAGGCACGACTGGGTTAGCAGCTAGGCACAAGCTGCAAAGGCAAATAGACTACTTTAAGCACTCAGCAGTCACTCACCTTTACCGCCAAATGTTCTTCCCAATCGTTGGTTAAGCTCTTGTAGAACTCTCCATATTCTTCATTAGTAATGTCATCAGGATTTCTGGTCCAAATAGGCTTTGTTTTGTTGAGTTCTTCTTGGTCAATGTACTTTTCCTTTATCTTCTTCTTTTTCTTCTTGTCACCATCCTTCTTTTCTTCTTCTTCCTCATCAGAACCGACATCTTCTATTTCTGGCTTGTCATCAGACTCCTTTTCTTCCTTTTCCTTTTCTTCCTCTTTATCTTCTTTTTCTTCAGCTTCATCATCACTGACTTCCTTATCGCGTTCCTTCTCCACCTTAAAAAAAACAAAAACACACAAGTAACTTCAGCATCTGCATTGTAGATTCATTAAACAACTAAAGAGCTAAGGAATGAAACATAAATCACTGCATAACCAAGAGACATCAGTGTTATCTATACTTTTTCAACAGCCCCTTTTCATTCAGAGTACAGAAGACCTACCAAACTGGGCCCAAACAGGCTTCACACTGCTCTAGTAAACACCAAGCTTACTGTTTTGAGAACTAGGATTGTATGTAGTTCATTCCCATCAATATAGAAATGCACTCTGCAGTTGAAAGGAAAACTTACGAAGAGAGTAATGGGATAGCCGATAAACTGAGAATGTTTCTTCACAATCTCCTTTATTCTCCTTTCCTCCAAATACTCCGTTTGGTCTTCTTTCAGGTGTAAGATAACCTTTGTTCCACGACCCATTGGTTCACCTGGAGAAAAACAGGTAACACCACAATGGTTAAAATAGTCTAACCCCCATGCTTGCTGGAGACTTGAGGTGACTGACATACAAATTTAAGCGAACTGTGCATCTCACTGTTCCCAGAACCCCTGGCAGCTCGCCTTCATTCACCACACACGCAACGGTCCCCACAGCTTGAATTAACTCCCTAGCACTAGTAGTAACCAAGCAAACATGAGCTGCACAATTTTTGTATTTCCTCCAGCAGCACAGCCCAGGGTCCTCAAACTCCCGGAAGAACAATTTTGTTAGAGGTCCTAACTCCACACACATCAGACTGCTCTTGGGCTCAATTCTCCCAGCTAATATTCACAAGCACTTGACTAATCGAGTCAGGAAAACTCCCCTCCACCTCTGAACAAGTAACAAATTCTGCCTTTTGCCTACCCGTGTCGGTCCTCACTGTGAACGAGCCCCCGGCTGAGGACTCCCACGCATACTGCTCATCGTCATTGTGTTTGGTGATCACAGTCACTTTCTCAGCAACCAAATACGCAGAGTAAAAGCCAACACCAAACTGGCCAATCATGGAGATATCTGCACCAGCCTGCAGAGCCTCCATGAAGGCCTTGGTGCCAGACTTGGCAATGGTACCAAGGTTATTGATCAAGTCAGCCTTGGTCATTCCAATTCCAGTATCGACGATGGTAAGGGTTCGATCTTGTTTGTTGGGAATAAGATTAATGTGCAGCTCCTTCCCAGAGTCTAGCTTACTGGGGTCTGTCAGGCTCTCGTATCTGATCTTGTCCAGAGCCTGTTAAGAAAACCACGAAAAATGTCAAGCTCAAAGTCAAGCCCCAAGGTGAGATTTTTTTACTCAATCAAAACCCAATTCCCCAATGGTACACTCACATCTGATGAATTTGAAATGAGCTCCCTCAGAAATATCTCTTTGTTTGAATAGAAAGTGTTGATGATCAAGGACATCAACTGGGCAATTTCTGCCTGAAAGGCAAAGGTCTCGACCTCTTCCTCCTCCATTGGTTGGTCTTGGGTCTGGGTTTCCTCAGGCATCTAGAGAACAGCACAGGTCCCTTTTAAAGCCACCACACGTTACGTCTACAGCCGCACTAATAATGGCTACCCACCCTAGAAATACGCTTCGAGAACTCTTATTTCGGCGTGCGACAGGGACGAGAAGGGGAGGTCGGATGACAAAGGGATGACCTCATTTCAGAATGCGGTAATTACGAGGCGCATGTGCACGCCTCCGGGAGGGCGTTCGGACCCAGGCGGCTGCACGCACGCACGCCCGCCGTCCCCAACGGCCGCCCTCCCCCACCGCTATGGCGCCTCCGTCCTCCGCCCGCGCCTCGGCAGCCGCGGCGCGGCCCACGCATGCGGTGAGGCCGGTCAGCCGGCGCCCTGGCCGCTGCTCCCGCCCGGCGGCGGTGGCCGCGGCCCGGGGCCGCCTGGGCCTGAGCCCGGGGCCGCGGGTCCCGAGCCATGGCCGCCCACCTCCACCTCCGCGGGCTGACGGAGCCCCGAAGGCCGCCCGGGCTGCAGCCGGCAGCCTCGCCCGCCGCATGCCCCAGCGAGCGGCTGAGAGCGGGGGACGGGGACGGGGACGGGGACGGGGAGGGCGCCCTCACCTTCGCTGAGTGACCACGCACGGGACGTGACTCGCCGCACCACCACACTGAAGCAACTGGCGCGCCGCCCCCCGCGCCTGCCTTTTATAGAGGCGGGCCCGCCCAGCGCGCGGGAGCTTTTTCCAGAAGCCTCCCGAACCTTCCGGAAGAACCCTCCCCAACCGTCGCCGCGGCCGCGCGCCTGCGCCTGCGCCCTGGCGGAGCCCCGCCCCCGCCCCGCCCCCCGCCAGCGGCGCGCCGCAGCGGCGCGAGCCCCTCCTCCACAGCCGCACGCTCCGCACATGCGCGCTCCGCCGGCCTCGCCGCCCGGCGCATGCGCCCCACAGGCCGTGCCCGCGCTCGGCTGCGCGCCCCGTCTCCTGGGTGCGTGTGAGCGGGGACGCCCTGCTGTGAGCGCGCGGGGAAGGGCGCCTGCCTCGGGGTCCACGCTGGAGACGCTGGCCTGCGGCGGAGGCCGCCCGGCCCCTGCTCCCCCCTTGCTGGGACCGCGCTTCCGGGAACGGGGCGAACGAGCGGGCCCAGCGCGCGGCTGCCGCAGTCAGGCAGCGTGCAGCGTGCAGCGCCTGCCCACATCCCATAAATCCGTCCGTAGTGACCAAAAACGCGACCCTCAACTTCAGGGCCGTCTTTCAGGAGTTTAGCTAACAAAGTGGTCCTACCCTGTTAACCCATCGTAATTTGGGGGCCTGAGAGATGGCTCGTCCGGTAAAGGCGCTTCAGTTTGGTTCCTGGAACCCACATGTCAGAAGAAAAAAAATTAACCCCTGGTGCTGTGACACCCACGTGCCCACACAACGGAAAGATTAGTGTAAAGGGCTGGAGAGACGGCTCAGCGGCTTAGGGACCATGCCAAGTTGCTTTGGGTGGTTAAGGTGACCCAAAAGGTAATGTCTGCCGGGGTGGTGATGCACGCGGGGGAATCATATGATCACCCACTATGTTATTAGGGAGAGGTCAGGGTATTCTCAAAAACTAGTCAAGGTTATGGAAGGTCAGATCCCAGGAAATAGAGAACAACCCAACTCTCACAATAAAAAATTATTTTTAAAAATGCAACCTAATGGCTCCTGTCTTTAAAAAAAAAAATGGAGTCAGGCAGGCTCCCTACTTGCTCTGTAGGTCAGGCTGGCCCTGAATACATAGAGATCTGCCTACTTCCGCCTCCTGAGGTGTGCACCGCAGTACCCGGCTGAGGTGGTACTCTTACAGCATCAATTGCTTCCCCTAAGACTGGCTGTTAGGATAAAGTGCTGGGGGACCTTGGCAGTCAAGGTTGACCAAGGCAGGGGACAAACGTGCCAGGCAGAGCTTTTTCTTTTTTCGGTTTTTCAAGACAGGGTTTCTCTGTATTGTCCTGGAACTCGCTCTGTAGACCATGCTGGACTCGAACTCAGAGATCCGCCTGCTCCGCCCCCCCCCCCCCCCAGTGCTGGAATTAAAGGCATGCACCACCAACGCCCAGCTTTTTTTTGTTTTTTGGCCAGGAAAAGCTTCAGAAAGCTTAAATGAGAAGTTTTATTAGAAAGGGGGGAGGAAAGAAACAAGAGTCAGAGAAGACAGGAGGGCAGAGGGAGACAGGGAAAGCCCTGTCTGCCCCAGGGGAACAGCAGGAAAAAAGAGAGGGAAAGAGAGAGAAAAGGCAGGAGCGTAGGTGGGAAGGGGTCTTTCTTTTCACCTGTGCTGACCAGAGCACTGCCTGAGTGCATTCTGCCAGGTGACAGGGGCAGGCCAGCAGAATGCCTGACTCCTTACATTGGCTGTTTGTGTTGGGTGCCAGGAAATTAAGTTTTTGGCTTTAACTCTTGGTAGCAAGCATCACAAATCAAGCTCCAAGCTGTTAGGCTCTCTATGCTAAAAGGGGGAATTTTGCTTTTTATTTTTAGCCCTTTGGTTTCCACACTGGGAACTGAACCCAAGATCTCCTACGTGTTATCTCCTACGTGTTATGCTAGGGAAGCTAGGCCCTACCACTCAATTATATTGCCGGCTCTCTTTTGATTTTTATTTTGAGACGGTGTCAGATGCCAATCCTGACTATAAAGCAACAGTAGCTCAGCCAGAACTTGCTATCTTTGTATCTCAGCATTCCAGGTAGCAGGCAGATCTCTATGAGTTCAAGGCTCACCTGTGCCAGCCAGGGACGTACAGGGAGACCTGGTTTCAAACGGAACAAAGTCCACAGTTGTGGGGCTCGGGATGGCTCAGTGGTTAAGGTGCTTGCCATGCAGAACTGAGCTCAGACCTCCAGCAACCCACTGAATGCCAGGTGAGCATGTAGGCCAGCCTTAATTCAGTTCTGGAAGGCAAAGGTGGTTCTATTACTGTAAAGAGACACCATGACCAAGGCAACTGTTAAAAGAGAAAGAATTTGACTGGGGACTTGCTCAGAGTTCAGAGGTTACTCCATTACCATGGTGGCGGGAAGCATGGTGGCAGGCAGGGTCAGCAGTAGCGGAGAAGGCAGAAAGAGACTCTGGGCTTGGCATGCACTTTTGAAGCTTCACAGCTCATCTCCACCCCCCAGCCCCCCACCCCCGTGACACACTTCCTCCCACAAGGCCACACATCTTAATTCTTCTAATCCTTTCGAATAGTGCCACTCACCAGTGACTAAGCATTCTTATTCAAACCTCCCCAGAGGGGATCACTGCACAAGCTGGCTGGCAAGGTTATGTACATCAGTAAGCTCTGAGTGTGACTGAGAGACCCTGACTCAATAGATCAGGTGGACAAGTGATTGAAATTATCTTCAGGGGCTGGAGAGATGGCTCAGTGGTTAAGATCACTAGCTGGTCTTCCAGAGGTCCTCAGTTCAATTCCCAGCAACTATTTGGTGGCTCACAACTATTTCTAATGAGATCTGGTGCCCTCTTCTGGCCTGCAGGAATACATGCAGGCGGAACACTATACATAACAAATCTTAAAAAAGAAAATGATTATTTATTTATTGAGACAGGGTTTCTCTGTGCAGCTCTGGCTGTCCTGGAACTCGCTCTCTAGACCAGGCTGGGCTTGAACTCACAAACGATTTTCAATATCAACTTTAGCACTTTAAAAGAACTCATATGCATGTGCTATTGCTTATCTGGAGTCAGGGAGGGGTGGGACAGGTGCGCCTGAGCCCCACATTAGCAATTGTTCTAACCTGGAGTAGCACTGCTTAGAAGCTTTCGGGGGACAAGCCAGCATGAGGTGAACAAGCAGTAGGGTAAAATGAGTCAGGGTCCTCAGCCCTATCAGACCAGAGGTCTTGGAGGTGACCTGGAACTTGTCCCCAGAGCGCTGCCATTTCCTTCAAACCTGCTGAGTCGCCTGACTTCGCCCTCACCTTCTGCTCTCCCTTCTGAGCGCCGCCACATTCGGGGCTCCTCTAATGCAACCCCAGCCTCAGGCTCTGGGGACACTTTCTGTCGAGGCTGTCAGCCCCAGGGCCCTGCTATAGCCAGTTCATCTCTCCTGTCCTGTCTGGGACCCAGTCCACATATTCACTGACTGGGGAGATGTCCTCCTATGTCCATCTCCATGCTAGACCCAGTGTCCCCTGTATGGGTAGGCCTGTCACCAGGCTGTGACAGTACTGTCCACACCACCAGGACAGCTGGGTGGGACATTTTTGTTAGTCCTAACCAGACCATGTGGCACACTTAACAAAGAATATGGAGGCATGTTTAATGTGTGCAAGACACTAGGTCCCAGCCCCAGCGCGTAGGCACACAGATATGCATAGAGCCCAGAATGGGTTCAGGGAAAACAGACTCTAAAAGGGCGGTGGCTGCTGCGCAGGTTTCTTGAGTTCCTTTCTTCACCCCTGCACAGCTTCCAAATCAGGACAGGGTTCGTGATGTTTACTGCTCTTGAGGCCGTGTGACCCGGGAGAGAGGGGCCTAAACACTAGGGAGACTAAAGTCTCATGCATTAGCCAACTTTATGCAGAATGCCAGGCAACTAATACTAAGGGATAAGAAGAACCACACAGGTAAGGTTTTTGTTTTGTCGTTTTGTTGTGGAGACAGGGTTTTGGAGCTCTGGAGCCTGTCATGCCACTCGCTCTGGAGACCAGGCTGGCCTTAAATTCTCAGTGATCCCCCTGCCTCTGCCTCCCGAGTGCTGGGGTTAAAGGCGTACGCCGTTGCCACCACCACCGCTCAGCTATGCGTAAGGTTTTAATCACAACGACAAGCTATACCTGGTAAAAAGCACATTTCCCACAGAGGAATATAAACAAATAGCCAGCTGTGATGAATAATCTGAAGTGAATTCACCCCTACCTGATACACCTGGGGGGTGCACTGCGCACATGCCAAGGATAACCCTTGGTCACAAGGTTCTTGTGTTCTTGGGGTTTTCTCACAAGCACTCAGAATTCCCCTCACAGGACTCCATTACTGGACATGTTCTGACATTGTAGAATGCACACGGACCCATCAGGGTTATTCAACATCTGCATCACCCCTTCCTTTATTCAGATTGTGACAGCAGCTCAGAGCCTAGGGACCTGACCTCTCTTCACCCTGAGCGGGCCCCCAGTGTGCCTACCTCCCTTTCAGACTCTCCACTGAGCTCAGTTCATTGCAGGTGCTTGAACCACCGCCCTGAGTCCACCAGGCTGAACTGAACTTACAGGCTGTCATGCTGTCATCGTTCTCCTACAGGCCATATCCAGACCCAGCACAGGGCAGGCAGCCATGTAAGCATATCCATAGACCCCTTCAGCCCTAAGGGAGGTTTTGTGTGTGTGTGTGTGTGTGTGTGTGTGTGTGTGTGTGTGTGTGTGTGTGTGTGTGTGTGTGTTTAGCACCACCTGCTGGTCAGCTGTTTGGGGACTTCCAATTGGAACCTTTAAAGGGAGAATTAGAGAATGTTAATGAGCTCCAGTAAAGATGACTATCATTGGGGTCTTCACTCAGAGGAGTCCAAAGCAAACCTTCTGGTATTTCACTGAGCAAGGATAAGGTGGTGTGTGTGTGTGTGTGTGTGTGTGTGTGTGTGTGTACAAGCATGTGCTCACAAGATAGTCTGGAATTCTGGATAACCTTCCTGCCTCATCCTCCCCAGTGCTGGGACTAAAGATACCCACTGGGTAGTGCAGGCCTATAATCCCAGCTATGTAGGAGGCTGAGACAGGAGAATGACAAGTTCAAGGCCTGCAGAGCTACAAAGTGAGTCCA